CTAAATCCCTGGATGGGATGATGCCATGGCCTGGAAGATGAGAGAAGGGAGAGAAGCAAGGAGAAGGGATGAGCTCCCAAGCCAGGCAGTGTTAGGCGGAGCCCTGGGGACCTGGGACTCTAAGCACCCAGATGGTCTGCAGAAAGCCTAGAGAGGTGGGCCCCCAAGACCCCAGATTCCTGTCCCCATGGAGGCAGTTGAACCTCAGGCTCTGAAGGCAGGCTGCAAGGCAGGGCAGGTAGTGAGGAAAGGGATGGGAAGAGGGTTTGAGGGTTTAACCTGTTTATACCCCTTATCTTGAAGCTGACTTGGTCTGATCTTAAGATCACCACACCCATTTTCTGCCCTTTCAGTTTGCAGAGCACATCTTCTTCCAGTCTTGTGCTTTTAGCCTGTGTCCTTATATTAAAATGTGTCTCTTGTAAACCTTTTTGTCTTAACTGGACTGGGCCATGGCCTACAATTAGGGGCATGGCATATATAGGGCTTACAAAGTCCCCAAGGGTCATATGATGAAAGAGTTTTTAACAGTACTGACAAAAGTTAAGTACCTCTTTACTCAGTGGAAACCAGAAGATGAATAGTAGACATTCCACAGAGTAGATGTTGAGGTCTCGGGACAGCAACTCCCACAGGTCCTGATACCTGCATAGTCAGGTGATGGGTGTGAGGGCCTTGCAGCCTGGGAAGACGGTTTGCAAGTGTGCATGCACATCCACCCATTGGGTGGGCTTACAGATGACTCCTGTTTACTTACTAGCTGGGCTGCAACAGTGAAGCCCCCTCCCAGGGCATGAACACTCGCTCACCTACAAATGTCGCAGTATCACCTGCAGAGAGAGACGGAGACCCAGAAATTCTCAAAAATGCAGCCAAGAGACAGTTTTCACGTATCTGGTTCAGAAGTTCCAGGCCTGGCTGTACCTCAGAAGCACCCACCTGAGAAGATGTTTTAAACGCTAACACTAGGCCCCACCGCCAGGTGAGTCTTTCATTAATCTGGATCGAGGCTAGGCATCCATTTTCTTTAGGAGATTTCAATTTGAATCAATATTTTTAAAGGCTACCTAAGCCTGAAACATTCCAAAAAGGACCAGGGGAGAAAGTCACCAGGATTGTAAGGTCAGGTGTGGGTGGTTCTGTGGCATTACCAATGACCCCAGGCTGGCTGGCTGCTAAGGCGGCTCTGCTGAGATGGAACAGGACCAAGGGATGCCAGAACCCATCACACGTACCCAGTCCACTGAGGAAAAGCACCTAATACTGAAGCTCCATGAGGGAAAGGATCATGGCCACACCACATGGCACAGGAGCCCTGCTTGCCCCTCAGCTAATAATCAGGCCTACACTGCAACATTCCCTGATATCCACCTCCAAGGTCAATGTGAATGAATAGACCTCTTTGCTTGGTTTCTTCCCTTAGAGCAAATGTTTCAATTATCTCCATTTTCCTCCTCGATTCAGAGTACGTTGTCCAGCACATTTGAACCGCAATGAAAACAAGCCTCTTTGTGGGTATCATGGAAATAAAGCCATTTCCATGAGAAACGGCATTTCTTGTGCAGCCCCACTTGGGAGAGCTTACTCAACCGGCAAAGAAAAAAACTAGTGCTTTTCAAAGTATGAAAAACTACCCACTGTCCATTAGAGAGAAGCCGGTGAAGTCAGGAGCTTTTGGCTCCAGGCAGGACTAGTGAGTTTGAGGCTAATTTTTTAAATGGAAAATGCTCTTTTCTTCTTTGCTGCTCACAGCAACTAGTTTGCGGTGTGAAGCCCAACCAGACCTTTCGAAAATGATATTGTTCTAGGACAAGGGGGTTGGGAGAGACAGAAAAGGCTTTCAGTCAAAGGATGAGATTGTTTTTCTGTCCCACTGGCCAAACTGAATTCCATCGACTTATCCAGTCCGAGGATCCTAACCCTGTATTCCCTGACCCCAGATGGGAACTTGCTAGATTTCATTCATTAAAAACAAAGCTGCCTGCCTGCGAGCATCAGGGCCCGCCTGCTGCCCCATCTTTGCAGACTCAGTCCCAGGCATCCCTCTCTAGCTGTCCTTCTCCACCACCAGCTTCTGGGCTCATGCAGAAGCAGAGGGAGGTAAGCATGGACAGTACATGCCTCAAGTGAGTGCACCACCCTCCATCCATTTTCTGTAGATGTTTCAACACCGAAAAGCTTGTGGTGGGAGGTTGGAGGAGCAGGGAGGTTCAGAGGATGGTGCAAGGATCCTGTGGCTGCTGAAGCCCAGAATATAATTTCCTCTGCTACTCAGAAACAGCAGCAGAAGGCCACAGCAGCCACCTCCTGACCTTCTGGCCACTAGATAAGGGCAGCTGACGATGTCTGAGCATTCCTTCACCACGCATCCTTTGACTTGCAATGACCAGTCAGGACACATCTTCAATGTTAACAGCTCAGGCATTGCCCTGGACTGCCAAAATGGATATCACAAAAGCAAGAGCGTGGTTTGTTCTTAACCCTGAGGCAAGGGTGGCTTTATAAAACAGAAAGCCTTGAATGTTAACACCCACTATAAGTGTCAATAGTCACATTGAATGGCTTTGGAGTTAACATGGCTAACAAAGATAACAGGAATTTTTCCCCTCACTTCCACAAAAATTCTTCTAGCCAGATATCCTTGTCCAGCTTGGTGCCCAATTGTTCAGAGGGTAATTGTACTTGACAGGACCTCCAGGTGGGAACTTGAGAGGTTTGAGTCTTTCCTTGCTGCATTGTTTTCCATAGCTGGAATTTACAATCTGGAATTTGAAGAACAAACAAATCACTGTGGCTCCCCTGTTGATGATACACAGAAGCACATTTAGAGATAAATGAGTCTTTAAAAGTAACTTAGCATTGCCATCCATGGCTGTTCTGTGGGTACCTTGCAGAAGAAGCAACAAATAGGAATGAGTGGACCTGGCTCTGCCCTCAATCCAAAGTGTGGTGTGCACATCGGTGTGCAGGTATGTGTGCACATGCACAAACTCATGTCCATTTTCCAGGTGTTCCCTCACTGGGCAAACAGAAGTGAGGGTACCTGACCCATCTACCTTACAGGATTAACTCATAGATCAAATACGAAGTGGGTGTCCATGTGACTATGGAGGCTGACAAGTCCCAAGATCTGCAGGGTGAGCTGGCAAGCTGAGACCCAGGGGAGTCAGGGGTGTCATTCCAATTCAAGTCCAGAGGTCTGAGAATCAGGACAGCCAATAGTGAAGTCTGGCCTGAAGGCCAGTAAGCTTGAGACCCAAGAAGAGCTGATATTTCAGTTTGAAGTCCAAAAGCAGAAAAAGTTGCTGTCCCAGTCAGGAAAGAGGAATTATCCCTTACTCAGGGGAGAGTAAGCCTTTTGGTGCTAGTCATGCCTTCAACTGATTAGACAAGGCCCACCCACTAAGGCATACAATTGGCTTTACTCAGTCTACCAATTTAAACGTTAATCTCATCCCAAAACACCCTTACAGAAACATTCAGAATAATGTTGAACCAAATATCTGGGTACCCCCATGGGCCAGCCAGTCGAATCAACACATAATAGGAATCATCACAGTGGAGTAAGAGGAGGCACTGAGTAGAGGAAAGAACACTGTTTCTGGAGCCCAGAAGACCAAGGTCAAGTTTCTGCTGTTATTTTACCAGGTACATGATTCACAAATTATTCTATCTACTGAGGCTGCCTCAACTGCCCCTTTGGTAAGATGAGAGTAACAGAGGCATGGTCACATGTCACACTATGACACACAGCAGCCTCCAAAGCACTAGTTGTCTTCAAGGCAAAAAGCCCTCTTTTAAGGTTCAGTTTGCCCTTTGCATTTAATGTACACTATTATTTTAGGGAAAAGAGACTGCTGTCCAGAGCAAATACAGGAGGGAAAAGAGAGGCCCTGATATCAAGAAAGAACATGACAGACCTTGCTGGCACATCCTTACTCTTCAGTGAGCAGGCCAGGGGCCGGGGCCCAGGAGAGAACCACCGCAATGGACTCGCGGGTCCTCTCCTCTAGGGAAATGGCTCCTGTGTTTTCCCAGGAGATTCGTGGGCCCATATTTACCTTGAAATTGGTGGGGTGGGATGGTCTTTGCAGACTATGGGCATGTTTTACATTATATGCCTGAGTTGTTGGATGACTGTGAAACCTAATATATTTGGTACCTGATACCATCATCCACCATAAAAGCAAAATATTTTTCCATCTAGAAGTCAAGTTGGAAAACCTCTCTCATAGTTGGTTTGGGTTTTAAAAGCACAGTAATGGCTGCAAAGAATGCCTGTTCATCCAGGTAAGACTGGAGCCAACCTGACACCTCATTTCTGTGTTGGTCCCCCTTCCAAAGTCCTGTAAGCCTGTGGGTGGTGTTAACAGCACCCTTCTGGCAGCTAAAATGGACCAAGAGAACAGCCTTATGGTCAGAGAAAACCTAGATGGTACAGCAAGAGAGGCAGTGGCTGGACTGGCCAGAGGAGACGGTGGGGGCGAGCGTGACGGCTCCTACAGAGTGTGAGATATTTGGGGCTTGGCAAATCCTAAGATGCTGCCTGCCAAGCCCTGCTGCCCCCTTGTTCCCCTGGTGTATTTCAATGGAAATTAAATCCACATGTTTCTGACTTGCTGACACTTAAAGCTCATCCAGAGGTGGTTTTGCAAGAGTGGTTTGGACACGAGAAGCCTAGAGAAACTTTAATTATTATTGTTATTTTTCATTTTGAAATGCAGACCTGTACCCTTACATAATAAATGCCATGCCTACAGAATCAGAGCCCAGTTTGCCTGACCAAAACTTTTTGTCCTGCGCCCACCAGAGACAGATAATTGAAATCAACTAGAGAAGACAAACAGCAACTTTAACATCCAACCTAAAAGTTCATCTTGCAAGTGGCACTGTCGACAGCCCATTCTGACTGGGCTGCACCTAAGAACTCCCAAAGTTAGAGTTCAAACATATATGCACAGTATGGGTTGAGTCTGTTGATTTCATTATTTCCTCAGTCTTTGGCCAAGGGGCTGAAAACCTAGAATCAAGATGGCATCCACATCAGGTCCAGGGAACCCAGGTCCAAGGGCATGGGGTGTGGAGCTTCAACAGCAAGAAGCCACTACAAAGGTACTCTGTAGAATGTTCTGAAATGTCCTATCATGTCCCTGACTGAAACCCAGACTAGTGGCAGCCCCACTTCCGCTTCGGGGAAGCAATCATAGAATATACTTAGAAAGAATTAGTGCTCTGGACATGATATATGACCTCTTCAAGTCCAGAGAGATCAGAGACTAAAGGGTACCCCTCTTCTGAACCAGCGATTAACATTTCTAATCTCTCCCATCCTGCTCACAGCCACTGCATACAGCTTTTCCTCAAGATTCACCTCAGAGGTGGCCTCCTCCACTGATCTGAGTTCCCCTGACAGAAGAAGCTGCTCTGTCCCCTCCCCGCTGCCCCCACCTCTTTTCCCAGCCCCGGCCATCAACTGCTTGATTGACAGTCGACGTATTGGTCTCCACCACTGGATGCCCCCTGCCCACAGCCCAGGGGCTGGCACATGGTGAGTGTGCTTTAGACCTTTGCTGAGTGCTGGTCTGGAGGCCAGGACCCACTTCTGTCTCCTTCCTCCTTTCCTAGTGCCTGGCACTGAGAAAACAGTGTTGGCTCACTGAACCACTTCTCACCCTACCCCTGCAACTGCCTTTGCCACCAGGATGGCTCATTTCCATGAACTGTACACACAAAGACCAACAACAGTGCTTTCAGACACTTTGAGACTGGGACCCACTTGAATTGAAATACCACAAATGGATGGCTTCAAGTGATAGAAATGGATTTGGCTCACAGTTCTGGAGGCTGGAAGTCCAAGATCAAGGTGTCTTCAGGGTTGTTTCCTTCTGAGGCCATGAGGAAGGATCTGCTCCAAGCTTGCTCTTAGCTGCTGGCATTCTCTAGCACCCTTTGGCTTGTAGAAGCATCACCCTGATCCCTGCCTCCATTGTCACATGGCATCCTTGCTGTGTGCATGTCTGTTTCTGTGCCTAATTTTTCCTTTTTCATAAGGACACTAGTCATATTGGATCAGGGCCCACGCTGATGGTCTCAGCCTAACTTGATCATCTACAAAGACCCTAATTACCATATATGGCTGCTTTTACAGGTACTGGGCATTAGGACTCCAGGATCTTTTGGGAAAACAGTTCAATCTCTAACATCACTCTCACAGTAAAGAAAAAAAATGGCTTAAAAATTGACATTGAAATACTGTAACCATTTAATTTATTGCCTAGCCTGGATGGTTTTTGAGAATGAAAGGAGGCACTATTAATAATTTTGCAGGGACAACAGGTACAAACCTGGACTGTCCCAGGCAGGAGTCTGGGATGTATGGCTACCCTCTGTGTGCAGGCTCATTGCCCAGGCTCTCCCGTGCAAGGATGTGTTGTACCTCCACTTCAAATCCCTCTTTGTTTGTGTTCCCAGTGAGTCTGGTCTGTTTTACATACAGTCGCAGCAAGACCAAGAGATTAGCTGTATTCCGGCTGTAGTTAATTCACTGTTTCCAGTTACCAAATGCCAGCCCAATATCAGCAATTAATTTGGCCGGATCAAATCAGGCCCTCTTACACCTGTTCTCCTGTTTAATTAGGCTCTAATCTCCCTGGGGGAGCTGGAGGCACTGAGGACCATTACCTAAGACTTAGACTGGGAGGCAGCTTCAGACACCCCATGCAATGCACAGCTCAGGCCCTTCAGTCTAGAAATTTGCCCTGGCAACTGTGGGCCCCTCAGGCTGGCCAGGGAAACGCTCCCTTTTTTTTTCTCTTCCTTTCATCTCCTCCCCAGGGAAGGCAGTGTTCCCAATGGGGCTACTTTCTGAGGTAATTGTTGGACAGGAGTCAGCCAGTTAAGGCTGCCCATCTAATTAACAGAGTCTGTTATGATTTATCAGGATAATGAGGTGAGGAACAAAGACATTGATTTTTTTTTCCTTCCTGATATTTTGGCCTCTTTTCTTCCTTTTAGAAGACGACCCTATATTAATAAAAATTAGTCACTACTGTTGGGGTGCAAATAGAGAGATAAATGCCATCAGTAATTCAGTTTCAAGCCCCCTTGGTAGACAGAGCCATTTGTCAGGCAATATTATTCAATTAATTAATTCCATTCGAGATACCACATTTCCCCCAATCCAGCCATTTAATCGTCAGCAACAATCATTTGTATGGTTCAAAAACAGAACGGTTAATAAATGCACAGTGAACCCAAAAAGAAGGTATGTTAACCACCACAGGAAACCTAGCTGGAAGTATTTGATTTGAGAACATGTAAATTGATTACCATCAGCCACGTACCTCTTGCTGCACAATAGATGCTCTGGGTATTCCTTAGTTCAAATGCCTAGGAGGAAAAAAAGACATTGGATCAATCCAGCTCACCTTCTTACACCCTATCAGTGGTCATTGTCAAGGTCTCTGGTCAGCAGCCCTTCTGTGGCCAAAGAAAGGATAAGTGACACAAATGTGAGTCGCTAAAGGCAATGCAATGGGACAGAAGGTTCCAGAACAGCAGCCCCCAAACCACGTGGTCAGGGTTTTTTTTTCATATAAAACTATTTATTCATAAATATTTTCCAAGATGAAAATAGGTTTACCAACTGTGTTCAGTTTTTGTCTGCTTTCTTGCCCATCTTTTGTCAGAGGAGAATCTAGGGCCACCCTCTACGCCCATCCATCTCTCCTGGCTCACAGCTCAAGTTAATTCTGCCTCCATTGATTCTCACATTAATACAAAGCAAACCCACATTCTCAATTCCCCTACTCTTTCCACTCTTGCCAACTTGTCTCAGAGATCTTTACCTCCCTCCTAGTGAGAAGTTTCCCTTCAGAAAGAGAGAAGGTAACAGTCCAGAACCACATTTAGGAAAAATCTAAAGGAATTAATATCATGACATTCTAAGGAGCAAGGCCCACAACTCCTATGTTATCTCAACAACCCCTCACTACCTCCTCACCAGCCTCTGAATCAGCCTTTCCCCCGGCCACGAATGTTGGTATAAATGACACACTATCTCTGTGTGTCATTTATTGCTTTATTCCACTTTGAGTGGGTACTAATCCTGCGGGAGCATTGAGACTGCTCTTCTTCATTATGACCAGCAGTATTTCAGCTAGATTTAGGATTAAACATGCCCCGTGTGCTGGCCTGTGACCCTATCTACGATTCCTAGGAAAACAACTCACATTCCAACAGCTGACTTCCAAAGTCCAGAGCATAAGCTGTTTGTAAGCTGGGTAGCTACCTACACAGTTCCAGCCCCTTTTCTCACGTCTGGACTCATCAAGTCACCTTTTGTTTCTTGAGCCCATTCCCTGGGCCTGGGGTAAGACACATGGTCTCCCAGAGTGCACAAGCCAGGGTGGGAAGGACAGGGCCCAGGACAGTGGGTCTCAAGCTTGGACCAGCAACAGAACCATCTGGAAGGCTCATTAGAACAGATTGCTGAGGATCTGGGGAGGGACCCAAGAAGTGACAGTTCTAACCCCCCTCCTAGGGGAAAATTTGACCTCAGAAAACGATGGTCTTGTCCAGGGACTACACTTTGAGAATCACTTGCTTAGATCGTATGGGTACAGAGAGGTTTCAGGGAGGTGGCTGGAGTTTCAGAATCCTGAGTGTCCATCTTACAACCTGGCTGATGCAAAGACCACCCTTCCCTGGGTCATAACAAAGGGTCTCCACCTTTACCTGTAGGCAGAGACCATGTCCTAGAGTGAGATAAAAAATTCCCTTAGAACAATCCAACATCACCTGCAGTTCTATACTTAGATCTAGAAATACTGTAGAAGACTCCTGAGATTGTGGAATTTCCAAATGTTTGTAAAAATGTTCTGTTTTGCTTTGCTCCCTGCTTCTCCTAGATGTCACACATACTCACAGATGTTCAACAGGCTTGACGAGGCCTGAGGATCTTCTCCCACTGTTCTTCATGAAAGACTCAGATACTCCTACATCTGTTAGAACTGGATAGAGATCTGACCATCTAAATTCTACATGCTGTGATCCCAGGGGTCATCTTGAGACAGGGACCATGGATGTAGTCAGAATAGAGAGAACGCCTCCGGAGGGGAAGGGCAGGATATTTGCAATCAGAGCAATGTAACTACATGCAAGGAAACCACCCCCCTGCTAAAACTCTATGTTAAACATTGAGCTCTAGAATCATTCTCCAGTGAAATCAATTAATGTTCCCCAGATACAGAAGAGTAGCACATGTTTTATTATGCTAATCATTTGTAACCATGTCTAAGATTCACTTTAGCATACTAAAAGGCCCAGGCCTATGTGCAGTCTTTTCTCCTTCAGATCTGAGGAGGTAATTCTGCAAACTGAGCAACTTAGCATGCAGACCCAGCTGTAGATGGCATGGTAAAAGGCAGGAAGAATTCCATCTTAAAGATAAGATTGCATTTTAACACCCAGGAAGTTCAAGAGGCAAGATTCTTTAGCAAGTAGACAATACCTCAGCCCACCTTGGGGGCTGGGCAGGCAGCCTTTTGATGTGCTCCCAGACCAAGGCGCCAGTGTCCCAGAGAGAAATCAAGGCAGGAGATTCCTTACAGTTAAGTTAATTTTTAATATTCAGGAACCACTTAACAAGTCCCCACCCCTAAGTTTTTTCATGTTCTTGAAAAATCCTCAACTGCCTATAAAACCCCCTAGACAACGCACCACTACGGACTTTCTTGTCCCCTCCTGGCGTGAGCCGGGAGCTCTGTCCTTTCACTTTATCTCTAAATAAAAGCCTGTACCTTGCTCTCCTGCCTTGACTGTTTGTGAAGCTCATTCTTCAGCTCCGCAAACAACAACCCCGGCATCAATCTGGCCCAGTGTTTCCCAAACATCTCTTTGAACTCCATTCAAGGATATATATACAACCCAAGAATCTCTTGGCAATTCATCTGCCAGTGCATCATTTTAGTGTCTTAGCCTGGGTTCCTCAGAGAAAACAGAGCGTGTGACAAGGGCTTTTATAAAGGAAGGTTATTTTGGAGATTTCATCCCAGCAGACAGCAGGCAGGAGGGAGTGAAGCAGGGAAGGAGGGAGAGAAGGTGGCCACATGATCCAAGCTGTGTAGCATGTGCATTGGAATTTTCAGCCTGAGGGAAAAAAAAGGGAAGCATTAACCTATAGACTCCCATTCCCTTTTGGATGGTTGTCCCATGGGGAGTTGATTCTCTCCCAACTTCCAGGTTGTACACACATGTACATCAGGATGCTGTCTCAGGGAAGGCCTGGGCTGAGAGGGAGAAATATCGTGTAGCTGGAATGGGGTGCTGTGTGGTTACACCTGCACAAAGCTGGTTGCCCCCTCAATGGCTGGCACCAAAGGTGAACCAGAAGATGAGGGACACACACAGAAGGTGTCCACATGGTGTACTATGAAAAACAAGAAACTGGGAGTAAAAATATTTTCTATTCTATTCACATATATTATAAATCTCTTATTAGTCTAATATTTAATATATTTAAAATTTTAATTGAAATGTGAAGATTAGCATCAAATTTCAGGTGTTCCTAAAGCCTATAAACCTTACAATGGACCTACATGCCTTATTTCTAAAAACTTCTATCATTTCTGTGCCCAAATGTCACTAGAAAACAGTGACCAAACAAAGTTCATGATAACCGTTTCGAGATCAACAGATACAGGGAGGAAGTCTTAAAAGTTAATCCATGTTAGCTGTTTCGTGCTCACATTAAAATATAGGTTGAAATTAATTAGGAGTTGGGGCATCAAAAATTGCCTTCATGAGCTTGTATCTGAAATTCTTCTATTTTGTGCTAACAAATCAATCACCTATTTATAATCACTTCTGTACCATCATTTGTTTTTTATAAATGAAAATCAGAATCAGGCACAATTGTCACTATCTTTTCTTTCTTGTAACACTAAGTTTCTGAGATTCAGGGACATCTTCAGAGGGATGGGCTTTGATGAGAGAAAGTGAAATGAAGATTATTATAGGGCAATTTACTGAATTATTAACATGAATTTCAGCATGTGTATTGCTAATGCTTCTAATCTTCAGCAAATGATCCATTCAGGATATGGACCAAAGAACGTATGGCTAAGAGTAAAGGTCTCTTGAAACCGTGCAATGGCGTTCGGCTCACAGTTAAATTAACTGAGGCCGGCTCTGGAGCATGCTCAGTGGAGCGGCGCTCCCTGCGGCGCACGCCCACGTGATACGCATTCCGGGCGCTCCGCAATCGTTGAGAGGTACTTAAACGCTTTAACTTGCTGTCGTTGAAATTTCCAAAATTATGCAAAAGCACCGAGACTAGATTAATGAGACCTCAAAAACATCACCCAGCTCAATCCTCTTGGTCAATCTTAAATATGTTTTCATTTAAACAGATGTCTTTTTGCTCCTAAAGACAGGAAACCCGGGAAGATTTGCACGACCCCCTGAGGGTTTGTGACCTGCTGGTTCTTTGGTTCACTGACCTTGTTCAATCTTCTCTTTATACAAGGGAATGCTATGCTTCTCCCATTCTCTCTGGCTATCTCTCATGCTTACAGCAAATTAAGTGGACTCCTGTCTATGATTTCAGCAACGGTGACATATAATCCCAGTGTTCAATGATGGAATTTTCCAATGCAAGAAGCGGCAAAAAGCGAACAGAGAAAACGTTGCCATGGGCAAAGGCTCCTCCACACAGTATCTCCCACTGTGCTACGAAGCAGCCCGGCATTTGGAGGAAAAGTGAAAGAAAAAAAATCTGACAATGGCGTGATTGTTCTCCCACCACAAGCCATCCTACTATTTCTAACCCCTTGATGGGCTGTGCTGGCAACAGGCAGACATGGCTTAGGTTTTCCTCAAGTGGCCAGCAACCCCAAAGGCAAGGGGGAAAGGACCCGTTGTTCTCCAGAAGACCAAGATCCCACACCAGGCGTGCAGCTCCCAGAACCCTTTCTCAGGGAAAAAGTGGGGGGAGCGGGAGGCGGTGCAGGCCAGCTCCTCACCTTGTCTCATTCTTACATAAAGAACCCAAAGCCAGCGACATGGATCAGCTTCTTGCTTTCTCTCCAACTACTTGCCTACTACTCTAGAAAAACAACCAAGGTCTGCCAAGAATCTGAAATCTCCTAAATCTCAAAATAATGACTCGCCTATCCAGCGTTTCCATCCAAGGAATTGTTGGTTCCTATACAAGAAAACCCTTTGGGGTCAGAGTCAGGAGTCCAAGAAAGGCATGTGGTTATTTTTGCCACACTTTGGAAAGAAAGAGAAGTCTATTTTTGACATCAGCTATTCATCTTTCAAATAACATCAACTGGTAAAGCATGCCTAATTTAAATGTTGATTACAAATTGCACTTAATTTTATGGCTTTTTGATCTCCTTCTATTCAACCACTTCACACACACACACACACACACACACACTTACGCTCTATTTCCTTGGCACAAGAGTTAAAGTTTTGGAACAGGTTAAGGAGTGAATGCCCCATTTCCATAGGACAACTTCCATCTTTAAAAAGAAAAAAATAGTAAAGGGGAGTGATCAAGTGAAGGGTTTGAGTGCCTCAATCAGATTACAGCGTTTCTAAGACTGACCATGGCATTCAAAACAATTAATCATTAAAGAAGGAACTCATTAGCCATGAGGGGGAAATGAAATGGGAAGGGGAAAAGGGAGAGGAAAGGAATCACACAGTAGTTTTGGAATATTCCAGCATGTGTATGAGTCATTACACATCAACCCTGAACGGAAGGCAGAAATCAAACATGAAACTCACTAAGGGCTTGTGAAAATTAAGGCGTGTAAGAAGTGTAATGTCACTGACAACCTAATCGCCACATTTGCATACGGACAGGAAAATGAATTCAGACATGGGGGCCCCTTCCTTGAAGGGAAAGCCAAGAATATGCATTTCACCGTTTCAAAGAGAGAAAACATGTATTTCCAATAGTCATGAAAACATCTGCAATCCAGAGTTCAGCTAGTCTTTTAGTTAAAAAACAGAGCGACATACCGTTTTACAAACGTGATCCCTAAGGTGAAAGAATGGAGTCCTTTTCCCCCTTAACTCATTTCAAAGGCAGAGAAAATTATCCTTCTTTGGAGCCTTTGATGCGCATTGTTCATCTAAAGTAAATACAATTACAAGAAGTGAGCAGCTCTCCCTGCCCCCGAGCCCTGCTGCCCTCTCCATTGTCAGCCACCTACCTCCTCTCAACTCCTGGGGTCTTTGCTGGATGCCCCTCTAACTGGGTGTAGGCTGGTCTTCTTACCCCTAACAGCTGCCTCGACCTGTCACTGTAGCCCCCACGCATCTTTAGGCAGAAGCTTAGTCAGTGTTGTTGAATGACAAATACATTTAGTAATTATAAGATTTTAGTCATATCTATCAAACTCTTTTTATGAAAATAGAAGAGATGGGAGTGAACGAAAATAAAAGCCACAGTTGTAGGTTTAGTATGCAACTTCATTAGGCATGGAAATAGTAATACAAATATTAAAGTAAAAGGAAACTGAGTTAGAACCCCTACAGGGTGACCAGCTGTGCCAGTATGCCCGGGTTGCCCGTTTTAGGACTGAAATTCCCACATCCCAGGAGAGCCCCATTCCTGGGAAAACCTTGGGATAGTTATCCTGCAGGCTATCAATGACTCCAACCAAAAATTAAATGTTGACTTAGTTGGAAATCAGCAATATTTGAGAGGCCTCATCACAAAAGCCCCATATACCCTGCACCCACCCCACCAGAGCACACAGCCCCATTTATTTTCTTGATTGCACTTAAAATAATGTGATTGTTTTTCTGGTTCCTTTATTGTCTGTTCTTCTTACTTAGTGTGAGCTCCATGTGGTCAAGGGAGTTGTCCAGCTTGTTTCCTGCTGTAGTCCTAGAATATTCTCTGGCAAAGAAGATATGCAAGAAACATGTCTTAGATGCAGACCCCTCTCTGAAAGAACAGAATCTGACAGAATTACTGTATTCTGTTGATTCTAAGTTACACAGTTTTTCACACTTCAGCATCTCCAGATGCATTCCAATTAATGGTGCCTTCCAGAAGCCAATGGCCATGACTTGGCATTTGTCTTTGCATGTACATTCACTCAGTTGTAGCTGTTCATGTTGTCCTCACTTCA